AGAAGTCGAATTAGTCTTCTTCCTCCTCTAACCCTAATTTTATTAAATTCTAAAACAAATTGATGATGACAAGTGTACCCTTAAGTGGGCGGCCAGCTTGGCAGTTACATAAAGGAAATAAAATAAGAACAAATAACAGGCCCATCAACATAAAATAAAAGATAAAGAAGGATATCACATAAGAAGCTGTTAGGGCCCATTCGGCCCAGTCTCTTTACAGTCACCACAACATTGGCAATGCCCTTCTTGTTCCTAAAATGAGCTGGAATAAGATTAGAATGAAGTATTCATCAAAAAATAAGATTAGGATGAAGTTTCCAGCATGTGTAGGCTTCTTACAGTGATCACACACCACATCTTTCTTCTCCTCTTTCTCACCACTAGCTCCCTTGTCTCCTCTAGGTCAAGGTCTGGCACTCACCATGGCTGTAGGTTCACAAGGTCTCATCATAACATTCCACCTACTCTCCTAAGAGACACTATCACAAGTGAGAGTGTTTTGTTTGGCAATATCATGCTTTGGTCTGAGTCCATTTAAGAAGTCAAACACTCTATTCTTCTCCGCTAGCTTCTGAGAAACACTATTATCTGAGAGAGTATGTTCTGTTTGGCAATATTGGACTTTGGGTTGAGTTCATTTAAGTACTCAAACACTCTTATTCCTCTCCACCAGCTTTTGATAAATAGCATCCTCGGTACACTCTCACCTTACTGTTTCAAGGTGAACGATCACTTGGCACAAGGTCTTCAGAGCAGAGAAGTAAATTGCAAGTGACTTATCTTCTTGCTTCAGACTACTTTTGACATCAATTGATAGGCTCGTGCTACATTCATAGCTTGAGAATAAGTTCTTCCACTCCATCCCAAATCTCCTTGGTAGTATTCATCCACAAGTTCTTACTAATATGTGGCAAACATTGAATTACACAGATTCATAAAAAAAAGAAACATTGAATTAGACAGCCTGGTGAGGTCATCACCATGTAATTCTCTTGCACCCATTGGGCATAGGATAGATCAGAGGACTCTAGCTCCTTTGTGTCCCCTGTGATATATCCCAATTTTCCTCTTCCCCCAATGGCTATATGTATAGATCAAGCCCATGCAAGAACCCTTGTTCCATTCAGCTTCACAATAGTGATCTGAGTTCCTTGCATCTCTCCCATTACTCCCAGAGACCCACCATGCTCTTCCGTAACTTCTGCTCACTTCTTGATGCTTCCATTGTTTTCAAAAGGGTCAATTATATGCCAGTAAACAAACAAAGAATCTCAGAGGGGCACTACATAAGGAAAAAAAGCAATCAAGGTTCTCTCAAAGCCACTAAACAGCAAACAAGGGTTTTGGACCAACTGGGCCTTCTAGATTAATCTCAGTAGAGCCTTTAGATCTCTTATCTGGTGCATTCGATCTCTTCAAGGGATAGAAACAACATAAACAAAAAAAAAAAACCTCTTGGAAACAGGTCACTTGTCATACTCCAGGTCTGGACCTTCTTGAGTTTAGGAGAAACTTGAGATGGGATCACCTCTCCAGATTTAAAACGTTGCGAAAGCTGAAGCACCCCCTCTAGAATAGTGAAAGAAAACTAGGGGAGCCCAAGTACTAGACCCAAACTGAAAAATAAAATCCTAGCTCAAACCTACATACCTCCTTGTATCTGCTTGGTTTTTCCTGTTTTTTGTATTTGTAGTTGTATTCATTGCATCATTTTTCAAGTTTTTGCTTCTATCTTGTTTTTTTTGGCTTGGCTTGCCATATCATAGACATTGGTGGGCTGATTTTGTCTGTATTCTGGATGGACTTGTACCAGGGACATACAAAACCTGTCCATTCTGTATGTTGGGATCCTTCTGGTGAATTACTGGCTTCTGTGAGCGAGGACTCTGTCAGAGTATGGACTTTTGGTTCTGGGAATGAAGGGGAGTGTGTTCATGAATTGAGCTGCAATGGGAACAAATTCCATTCTTGCGTTTTCCATCCCTCCTATCCTTCTTTATTGGTGATTGGTTGTTACCAGGCAAGTTATATTACTTCAAACAAATATTTCCTCCAGCTATGCCTATTAGCATGCTTTGTGTGTGATATTTAATTAGTGTTATTGTTAGTTCTCTAGCTTATTTTTGGCTTGAAAATTTCTTTTTTTACAGTTTTAGTTAAAATATATATAGCTTTATGGATGACATATCATATTGAACTTACTAACTGAGAAGGGCCTTGTATTGGTATTTTCAGGATATTCTCTCTCTCTCTCTCTCTCTCTCTCTACTAATCCATTATCTCTGCATTCTTCCACTCTTTCATAACATCTACTTATTTAGCGTACAACACTTTAACAAAATAATATGAAAATGATAGAAAGTGGGTATCCACATATTTTGTTCTAACTACTTCTGATGCCCCTTGTTGAAGTATACAAGTTCATGCTCTAAGGCGTTCCAAATTTTGGTGGTGTTTTGAATTTGTAGCTCCAACATTTACTGCCGTGTCTGGGCACTTTGGTCTGTGTACAACCCATTTGAGTGGGTGGCATGGACGTAAGGTGACTCAAAAGTTGCATGGTTTTGGTAATACATGTGGTGGAAAACAGGACAAATAACCGGCCAGTATTTTGTCTTTCTTCTTAAAGAATGGTGTTCTTCAAATAATAAATAATGTATTAATATCATATTATGTTAATTCATTTTTATCAGCTTATTACATTCAATTTATAGGGACTTTGTATCTATCAGGAAAAAAAATGACTTGGCCGATACGTAACATGTTATTTTGGCATTTTTACAGTCATTGGAACTTTGGAACATGGCTGAGAACAAAACAATGACTATGTCTGCACATGAAGGGCTGATTGCTGCCTTGGCAGTATCAAATGCGACTGGGTTGGTAGCATCTGCTAGTCACGACAAGTATGTCAAGCTCTGGAAGTGATCGCTGTATCAGTGCCATCATAGAGGGTGAAACTGTTGTCTTGTGTGTTCATAGATATTAGCAAGTCTAACATCTCTTTGTTAGTGGTTTGTTTTAATTGCAGTCCAATTGGTCTAGCAGGGGAAAAAGAGTTGCTAGGCCTTGTCAATTTCTTCTTCGTTTTATTCCCTTCCATCTAACACGAGAAGATGGCATTGATGCAACAGATACTAACCTTGTTGCTGTTGTGGTATTAGCTGGCTATATTTGTACAACCCAAGCTAGCGGAATCCGTCTTTGAGTGCTTCCTTTCTGTCAACACATGGAAGTCTTTACATAAAACTTGAATCAACTTGTAAAGTATATACTCTCGTTAAAGAATGCGTCGATTTTCATAACCTTGCCTTCATTTTTGCCTGTCATATGCTGTCCTATCAACTATTATTACCAAGTTCTGGATCGACTCCAATGGGTGACTGCAGTGGTGGGCAGGTGTTTGACAGATGATTGCTCTTGCATGGTATTGCCTAGTGTCAAATCCCTATGGTGGGTTGAATGGAATGACATTTGGGTGGGTGTTGCTGGATCAATTGGTCTGATGATTAATGCAGCGAGCTTGTGTTCTTAATACTGGTTTTTATACCCAAGTCATTCAGTGAGTTGATTTATCCTATCAATGAAACCGTTAAAATTTATGATAAGTTGGATTTTAATTTGGTGGTTAAGATGTTCAATTTTGAAAGAAATAGGATTATTATTATTATTATTATTATTATTATTATTTTCGTGAAGAACATGCCAGAAAGGTGTTGATGAAATTGGAATTGGAGACTGGAGAGGATTAGAGAGGGAGAAGGTACACGCCTACACCTTTTAAATAAATTGTTCCCTGTTTCAGTCTTTCTCTGGTCAGTATGTGTCCTGAAAATGGTTTTCTTTTTTTTTTTTTTTTGGTTATTGCTCGAGGGTGGTAGGGTGAGTTTATGAAGAAAACACAACCTTATTTACAGTCAGTCGTATATTATAAGAATAGAAAAAAGGCAAAGAAATCATATATCTTAACAAAAAACAAAATTAAAATTCGGTTCATTAGTATTAGTGAGGTATATTTGGGTATGAAGAAGCTACAGGTGTTTGGAGAGGATGGGGTGGGCAACACCTTGAGCTATGGGATGATAACAGCCACGGACTTCTGCAAAAACTCTTTTAGCCAATATCTTCGCTTCTTCCTTTCCACTGCCTTGAACCAGTGCCGTATACAGAGGGCGAAGGTACTTCATTCTCCCAACTTCCTTCAAAGTTTTCTCCACTTCACTGTAGTATTCTTGCACCCAGACGAAATGGCCAGTCGGAGAAATGCCGCCTTCACCTCATAACCCTTGGATTCTGCTAGCCTGTACCGTGCATCCAATGGCACCTGTCAAGCTTCAGCGGATTTATGCAAATTCTCCAGATAAAGCTCCCATTCCTGCCCTGGCCAATCCGCAACTTCATCCTCCCTTGGCATCCTCCCAAGTCTAAACTCGTTTGCCAGTAACACAATCTTACTATAGATGTTGGAGACAGGCTCAAAGGCATCTACAGGGATACCTGTATCCTCAGGCCAAAGAACCAATTCTATATGCTTCTCTATTCCAGGAATATTTGCTTTCAGGAAATTCAGAAATGTTTCAGTATCAATCGACTAGAACTTAAATGTAGCGATATGTTTCTTAATGAATTCATCAAATGCAGGCCGTCCGATCTGACGTTCAATGCGCCAAACAAACTGGAAACCTTTTTCATATGGAACTTTGAACATCGGGGTTCACCCCTTCCTGTTTGTTTTTCAGCTTTATAAACTCCATGTCATCCTTGAATCTCCATTACATTCAAACCTCTCCAACCCATTCCAATGCTCAGAGCAGCTCTGTCCTCTCCCTGTACAACTTCAATGATTCTCCGTTCCGCATATGTTGTGAAGCCCTCGTTCAACCAGAAATCCTCATTGGTTTTATTGGTGATCAGATTCCCAGTCCAGCTATGAGCAAACTCATGGGCTACTACTTGGGCACCACCAGCATCACCCTTAATCGCAGTCCGTGTCAAGAAGACCATCCTCGGATTCTCCATACCACCCAAGGATTAAAATATACGGTGTGTATCGTATAGTATCGGGTGATACGGTTCATACTGCACATCCGCATCCATGCCTTCATCTGATAACCAACCGTGTCTCACTTTAAAAAAATGAGGCAAGACATAGAATTAAAGTCGCCCAATGACTAAGAGCATATACCTCTTCTACTACTAATCCACTAACCACTTTTTGTTAATAAAAGAAATACATTAACCTTTATCAACGTAAAAGTCTAGTAGTCTACATACAACCCAAATAAACAATATATACTAATATTCAACAACTCCAACTATAAATTAAAAAGAATAATTTTTGAAATTAGTATTTTATTAACAATAGAATAAATAATTTATCAAATCTACATATATACCAAAAATTGATTTAAAATTTCAAGAAATTTATACAAATAAAATTATTATTAATAGAATAATTATTTTAATACTTAAAATTTATAAATTTGCACATATGTATATTCAAATTTTTATAAATTATTAATTAATATTTTAATTTGTATTAAATAATAATGTATTTACTATTTACAAAAATAAAAATATTATTTACAAAATATTTGAGAATATAACATAAATTGAATTGGTCAATTCCACTAATCTACATTTATATAAAAATAAAATAATTTTGTATTTTAAAATTTATAAAATAAAAATATTAATAACGGAATAATTATTTTTGTAATTAAAATTTATGAATTTTCATATGATGTATATCTTCAAAGTTTTAATAGATTTGATATATTTTAACTTAAGATTATATGTTCTTTTAATGAATTATTAATTAATACTTTACTTTAAATTTTATAATAACATACTTATTTTTTAAAAAATAAAAAATATTGTTTACCAAACATTTGAGAATTGATTTTTTTGTTGATTTTTTGTTAATGTTAAAAAATAAAAATAATAAAATATAAATATTGATATAGTAGTTCAAATAGAATAATTGCATATATTTTGTACCTTGGACTTTAATAGAAAATAAAATAATAATGGTTTTGTGCATGTATTAATTTCTAAGAATCTATATAATATGTCTTAGATTATTGATTGATGCATTATCAATAAAATTGCACAATATCTATGCATTTCACTATATTAGTTGTAATATATTTATTCATATATACCATTAAAATATAAAGCTCATATGTATTTATATATTATTTATAATTATTTTGACCTTAAACTTAATGTTATTAATATATTTATGAAATTCTTGTGCATTTCCCTAGCGTATCCAAGCGTTTCTATATTTTCCGTTCGTATCCATGCGTTTCCCAAATGTATCGGTATCTGTATCCATATCCAAGTTGTCTGATACGATACTCAATACCGATACTTTGATCATTACCTGCAACCACTTTATCACTTTGTTTAGAAGGTTGCACCATCTTTGTGACTTAAGTATAATTTGCACAGAGGATGCGTTCCCACATGGCAAAAACATAAAAGGGCTTTGAATACTGACTTTATACTCAGCTCATATAGATTCCATTTACTCTACGCTCAGGCCATCCACAAATCACTGTTTTGTAATAATATATACTAGCGAGAAGCCATGGAAGACACGTTCCCACCTGGCAAAAACATAAAAGTGCTTCGCATGTTGACTTTATACTCAACTTGTGTAGATTCCATTTACTCTACGCTCAGGCCATCCATGAATCATTGTTTTGTAATGATATATACTAGCGAGAAGCCCATGTAGAAAATGATAGAATTAACAAATGAAATCAAATTAAACCTATTACATTTAGATTAATAAATGAAGCATTTAAAAGAGTTTAGTCCCCTGAGAATTGTTTTATTGGTTTTCCCAAATGTATTAAGTTAAGAATATTAAAGAAATTAGCTTTAAATAAACATATTATCACAAAAATTAAAAACACCACATTGGTGCATGGATCTGTGCAAACCTTTCTTGTAGCAAACTGGATTAGACCATGAAGAAATGGGTGCATTGGTTGCATCTTGAAAGACCAACACTTAAATTAACCTCCAATTATAAACAGGGTGATAAAAGAAAATAGATCCCTACCAAAAAGAACACTAATAGGTAGAAAGAGAAAGGCTTATGTTAGGAGGCAAGTTTCTATTATATTAAAATGTTTTTTTTTTTGGGCTGTTAGAAAAAAATAGGTTCTCTTGGAATTGAATAACTTGTCCTAATTTTTAACAACAAGAAAAGAATAAGGGAAAACTAAAAGGAAAAAGGGGGGAAAGTAATAGCAAATTACAAAGAGAATAATAAAACATTTCTAGGAGATTATAAAAGGAAATTGCAAAATTATGAGAAAATGAAAAATGAGATACCAACCAAATAGCACCAAAATACTAAACCCACAGTTATCTTGTACGTAGGGGTGGATTCGAGCTAAGCCGAGCCGAATAGTACTTGGCTCGAGCTCGGCTCGAGACTGTTCTACAAGGCTCGAGCTCGAGCTCGGTTCAAGCTAGAACCTTGAGCTTGAGATCGGCTCTGCTCGAGCTCGATTTTGAGAATAAATATTTTATAAAAATAAAAATATTTTTATTTTATATTTAAAATTTTAAGAATTATAGTAATTAAGAATTATAAATTTTATTATATATATTATTTTCTATAATTTTATTATATATACATATATTTGAGCCGGCTCACGAGCCGAGCTCTAGTAGGCTCAAGCTCGGCTTGTTTAATAATCGAGCCAGTGAATTGGGCTCGAGCTCGATTGAAATTGAGCCAAGCGGAGCTTTTCACAAGCCGAGCTCGAACAGTTCATGAAAAGCTCAACTCGTTTCCACCCCTACTTGTACGGATCCACTTCAGTAAATAAAAAACATAATTATAAAAGAATGTAAAATGAATTAGATAAGAAAAAGGTAAATATCAATCAAAACCATGGGATTTAGATTTCTTGATTTGATGAAGACGACAAGAAGTTCTACATATTTTGCCGGAAAGAGAAGGACAAGAGTAAAGAAGAATTAGAGGATAGCAATAAAGTGTATCCCATGTCAAAGGAAATACCAAAAATACAACAGAAATGCATAAAATACATCTATAAAATTATTAGAAAATGGCAAAGGTAATAATAGAGTAAGGCATCAAAAAAATCAACAAATTAAAAAATAAAAATAAAACAACCTATTCTAAACCAAACTAAACCCCATAAAAATAGCAACCTAGATCGTTTTGATGAAGCACTTCCAAGGAAAAAGGATGACAAATATTAGAAAATAAAATACATTTAGTTTCCCTTCTATCATACACCACCCAAATCCTGCCATCATCACATC